GCTGAAAACCCTTCCGTGTCCACAGTGGTCCTGTGACAGCTGCGTGAACATCATTTCCCACCACCCTCTCTCTTGCTCCTCACTCCTCATTGGACTTCAGGCTATTCCTGCCAAAGGCCTTCGCATTTGCTGTTCCCTACCCCGGGATGCTTTTCCCTAGGATTTTCAAAGTTTACACCTTCAGCTGGTCCCCTTCTCAGGGAGGCGTCCTGATCTATCCTGTCTCCAGGCACACCCCGCCCCCCTCCTGCTTCAGCCTATCACATGGATGGCTCGGACATCACGTACGTCCTGCATTGTGCTGTTTCCCTTGCTGGAACGTAATCTCCAGGAAGATTTCTCATTTGTATCCTGCGGGCCCAGAGCTGTGCCTGGCACATGGTAGATGTGTGATAAATCCTCGCTGAGCGAATGAGGTCAGATTCCAGCTCCTTCGTCTATTACCCTGGGTAACTTTAGCCACGCACCTTAGCATTTCCAAGCCTCCGTTTGTACAGTGGGGACAAAAGTTCTGACACTGAGACCCACAGGCAAGGACATCCGTGAAGATGCATTGACAAGTGGAAGGCAGTCCTTAAATGTGACAGACCATGATGGGGTTGGCCTAAGGGTTCAGTAGAGTCCTGCCTCTACGGTCTTGGCCACGTGACCTTTAGAGAATTGCTTTGTGCCTCTGTTTACCTATGAATTGGGGAGAATAAAATTCTTGCTGCCTGGGGGGGTGGGGGTGGTCTTGGGAGGATCAAGGGAGCTGCTGGCCACGGAAGCCCTTTAATACCCAGGGAGTAAGTGCAGTTCTCAGGCTTGAGGTTGGGAGTGTGTGTTGGGGTCTTTGGGGCTGGGAAGGGGTGCCTAGGAGCTCCCTGGAGGACACCACAAGGTGCTAGAAGCCTTTCCTGCTTCAGGGCGTGTTTCTGAGCCAGGAATTACCTCATTCCCAATTGGGAAGAACAACAAGGGACTGAGGTCAGTGATAACACCGAGTGGCATCGGTTCAATGGGGATTTTTCTCAACATGCTGATGTATTGGAGCGACCGGAACAGGAGGTCTCACAAAGAGCAAGCTTTAGCAAGCGACGGATTCCTGGAGAATCACAGTCCTCAGGAAGGGCCTTTCTTAGTACAAGTACAAAGGTCTCTCACGGTCTAGGCTCCTGCCGTTCAGGGCCCAAAACTCAGGAACCCAACTGATTTGAATACAGCATCCTTTCTCACCTCTCAAGACCTAAACTCCGCACCATGTCAACTCAAGGACGCGATAGATTTGGGGAGGGAGGGATGCCTGGATGGCCGCTTAACACAAAAGTTTTCTGATAAATGTAGGAATCACATGAAGAAATTGCAAAGACATGTCCCCGGAGTTAAAAAGAAAAAAAAAAAAAAAAATGAAGATGGCTTCACCCTGGGTCAGATTCTTAATTTCAGTAAATCTGGTTTCTACTGGAATCCAATGCCGGAAAAGATCTACATCTCAGAGGAGGAAGCACTTGCCTCTGTGGGGGAGGCTTCAAAGGGCTGATTGACAGGGTGCCAGTGTCAGTGGAGAATGAAAAGTCCTGGCGTTTTTTACTAGGACTGTTTCTGGTTTTGTTAACACTCAGGCTGCAAAGTTGCAGGTTTTGAGCAATCTGCCCCAACCTTATTTTCCCCCCGATCTTGTTATTTTTTAACGCATTTAATGCAAAAATATGCATTTTCTTCAAGCACATAAATATTACTTTGTAGCAGAAACATCTCCATTCGCTCATCCTGAGGCCCTTTCTCACTTGGGAGGCACCTGGGCCGGATGCGCTGCCGGGCACGCGGCAGACAGCCTGGCCTGGCGAGCCCTCCACTGGAGCCCCGCCCAGGGACAGGGTGGACCCTGGGACATCCAGCTCCTGTCAACAGCCTCTCTGTCCTCATTCCACCTCCTTCTGGGTTCCAAACGTGGGACCTCAAGGAAGGGAAAGGAAACTACCTCCTACCTCCTCCTGCCAGGCACTGAGCTGCGTGCTCTGCACACACTACCTCCCTGAATTTGACATCCTCATTCCGTGCTTTGGAGCCGGAGTGGGTTCGAATCCCAGTTCTGCCACGTCCTAGCTGGACGACCTCGGGCAGATGATTTAATCGGTCTGTGCCTTGGTTTTCCCACCTATAAGATGAGGCTACTGAGAAGTTCCACCTCCAGGAGTTGTGAGGATTAAATGAGATAGTAAGTGCTCATTAAACTCAGCTGTTAACTTTATGCCAATGATAGCCCGAGTGAGGCTAAGCTGTGATCACAAAGAGACTCAAAATGTGGTGGCTTAATACTATAGGACGTTGTTTTTCTTAGGAGACCGGGCAGATGGGGGAGGTCCAGGGCTGGGGGCACAGCTCTATCATTCAGCCTGTGGTTTACATCTGAGACGGAGGTGGCCCCTTTGGGTGCCAGCACGTTGAGGGAAAGAATACCAGGAAGAGGTATCCCCTAACTGTATTTTAGAAACATTTTTTCCCCAAGGTTTAATTTGGGAAAGAGCATGAACAAGGGAGCAGCAGAGAGAGAGAGAGAGGGAGGCACAAAATCCGAAGCAGGCTCCAGGCGGTCAGCACAGAGCCTGACTCAGGCCTCGGACCCATGACCCAGGAGATCATAGCCTGAGCCGAAGTTGGAAGCTTAACCTACTGAGCCACACAGGCGCCCCTCCCTTTTTTTTTTAATGTTTATCTTGAGAGAAAGAACCAGTGTGAGTGTGGGGCGGTGGGCAGAGAATCCCAAGCAGGCTCCACCCGGTCAGCACAGAGCCCGACGTGGGGCTGGAACCCACAAACCGAGAGATCATGACCTGAGCCCCAATCAAGAGTCAGACGCTTAACCGACTGAGCCACCCAACCCAGGTGCCCCTTGTCCCTGTTTTAACACAAGGCCTGCCTGTGGCACGTTCATTTGGCTTGCTGCCGTTGGCCAGCTCTGGCTCTCCTAGCTGCAAAGTGAGGCTGGGAATACAGCTTTCAGCTGAGCACACACCTGTCTAGAGCTCTGTTACTGTAGGAGGAAAGCAGACCATGTGGGGGAGAAATAGGCCAGGGAGTTTTCCAAACGAGGAAACCAGCCTGCAATCACACAGCTTGTCAGCAGTAGAGATGCGACTTGAACCCAGATCTTCCTACCCCCAAACTTCCGTAGTAGGCTGCCTGATCGTGCTTGGGCTGCCCAGATCCAAGTCCCCGTGAGGCTTTATGGGGGTCACCTGGGGACTCTTGGAAGCAGCAAGACCTCGGAAGGGCGGGGTCTTACTATAATGCCCGGCACAGAGGGCAAGTCCGGGCCTCAGGCTCTCCGCAAAGGCGTCTAAGAGAGTAGATTCTACTTCTCACCTTCCTGCACATTTGCGCTCCCCCCTGCCAAGAGTTCCTAACTGTTCTGGAAACAAGAAGGTTCCCTGCATAATCTGACCACCCTTACGGGTTCCGTGCTCTCTTTTCCTTTTCTCTTCCCCTTCCCTCCCGTCCCCCCTCCCCCCATCTCTTTTGCGGTCTCCTCCCGTTCTGGTTTCCATACAACACGCGCTCACAGGGGCCCAACCTTACAATCATAGCAGAGTGGCAATTCCCACATCTGCTTTGTCCATTTTAAATTACACCCTAAGTGTTTTTCCACGTGGCTGCATGATCAGCATGCTTCCCAGATGCCTGCTGCTGCTCTGTCCTTGCCACCTCACGTTCCCTTTCCACTCAGCCCCGGGAGGGGAGTTTGCGACGTTCGTCTGATCCTGTGGCCCCTCTGCTTACAGCCTTCCTGGCACCCCAGGGCCTTTGGGGCAAAGGAGAGAGGGAAAAAGCGGCTTGTTGGGCCCCAATGGCTCACGGCCTCTCCCCTAGATCAGTCAGGTCTTGGCAGGAACAGAATTCACCCTAGGTGGTTCCACCAAAGAGACTCTAATAAGGACTGGCTAGCTTCTAGAGGGGGGTGGGGGCAACAGACAAGGGACAAGACACAGACAAGCAATGACAGCCACTGCCCCCCAGGTCTTGGGGGGAAAGAGGGAAATAGAGTTAGAGGTCCTGTGAGAACAGGTGCTGGGGAGAGGAGCCTGCTGGAAGCCAGAAGCCACCCCTACCCCCCCAAGAGAAGCCACCACAGGGATCAGGGCAGAAAAGAGCACAGATAGCTTCTA